GCCCTGCACTCAGCTCCGCGCTGCGAGCTCCGCCGCCGGGAGGAAGCGCAGGGCCGCGCGGAGGAGGAGCCAGGCGACGCGGCCGGGGGAGGAGCGGCGGCGCCGCCCGGAGCCCAGCCCAGGAGAGCGGAGCTCCGGCGCGGTGCGGGGCTCTGCCCGCCAGGCACCCCGACTCTCTGTTCGTGCCCGGGGCCCCGGGCCCACGGCGACTCTGTAAAGCGCAGCCTGCCCTCTGCGGGACCCTAGTGTGGAGACTTAAATCCCCTTTTCCAAAATCTCTGGTAGCCCTAGATTCCCCAGCCTCGGGGAGCCCCCTGGCCGTAGAAAGGGGAAGGATCCAGGGGCAGCAGCGTCTGGAGGAGACTCTGAACCTCGTAAGGCGTGTGGATGGCACCGCATCTGCCGACTCGAGTGTTCAGGGCCCCGCCCCCGTGAGCCCGCGGAGCGTACGTTAGCCCCTGGGCTGCACTCCGCGGGCCAAGACCCTTTGCAGTGGGTTCCCGGGTCCGGGAATACAGGGCATTACCGTCTCCTCCCACCACTACTCTTGCAGAGCCCCTTGCTCATTCCCTCTGTCCCCGCACTTCTACCTCGGTGCAGCCAGATCTGATCCCAAGTCTGCTCAGGGATGGTGGCCCTAGGCAACACTCAGCGTCCACTGCGAGCTGCACGGTTACACATAGCCTTTCGGAAAAGGATGAGCTTGGTTTGTTACCACCTACAAGTCTGGTTATTTCCGAGACAGGAAGGAAAAAAAAAAAGTCCTCTGCCTCGGTGAGAAGAAGCAGAAGACAGCAGGAGCCCGCCGTTGCTGGGAGCCCAGCGTGCTGGAGACGCCACAGAACTGTTCTCAGCGAACCGTCACTGCAGCCACCTAGAGGAGGCAGACCTTAGAGTACCGGACCTCGAGGAAACCGGATCTCCCTGAAGCCAGAGAGCTTACTGGGGATCCCACAGAAAGCACTGAGCAGAGCTGGGGTTCCGAAGCAGATCACATAGGCGGCAAAATCGCATAGAACTAAACACACAAGGAACAAGGGCAACTTTTGAGTAAGACCCTCTGTATGAAGCGGATTTCCTGGATGTGCTATCTTGCTCCAGTTAGGCAAAATGTTATTATTGAGGGAAAGTGCGCGGGGCATTTAGGAGATCTCTATTATTTCTTAGGACTTAGGGGAACCTACATTCATCCCCAATAGTTTTTGCTTTTGTTTTTAATGAAGAGCAGATCGTTTATTTTAAAATCCAAACTTTCCCTTTGGCACAGTGTACATGGTTGGGTAAGAAAAGCGGGTCACGCTCCTCCTTCCCTTTCTAATGCGTTTGGGTAGACACACTCACATACTGTAAGCATGATTGTCCAGTTATGCAGCAACAGCACAGAACACTCGTTAACCTGCTACCAGAATACTTACATATGTATCATCTTAGACGTTCCCAGGGCACTCCAACAGCCAGCAGCCTGACGAGGTAAGAATGAAGAGGAGGTTTCCTCCTTCCACCTACTCTGCCATGGCAGCCTCCTCCCACGGGTTATCACTCCAAGCGACCCTTTCTAACCTGCAAGCATCTTTCTGAAGGATGCATAGCTTGCTAGCTTAAAGCAGGGATGTCTTGGGCTCAGGAGATGCTGGAGGTGACATTTGCTCAGTGGGGGAAGGTCAGACTTGCTGGGCGTTGTGTAACTAGAAACACGAGCCACGCTTTCTCCAGAGGAACAAATGGGGTGGGGTTAGTGCGGGGACTAGGAGCTGGGCCCCCTCCAGCTTTAATGCGGAGGAGGGAGAGGCAGCTTGGCTGCTGCATGACCCAGCATTGTGCAGAGAACCTGTGGGCAGAGCCTGTCTTCAGCACAAGGCTTGTGCAGTTAGGTTGCTGGGTGAAGGCTGAGTCTTCATCCAGACTGGAGCTGTTGGAAAAAGGCAGGGACTTCCCCAAGAATCCATCCCTTAAGTTTTATCTATTAAACAAAAATAACAGTGTATATAGCAGCCAGGCATTCATTCTTTATTATATGGGATACAAGGAAAAATGAAAGGAGATGTAAGCGTTACCCCAGAGATAGCACCTTCTACAAACCAAACTTCACTCTTATCCGTTGCAGTTTATGCGCTTCTGCTTTGGACTCTGATTTTGGAGGAGACCTGGGGTCCCCAAAGTTTGTGGATGTGACTTTTCCTGAGGTCTTCTGCTATGTTGCATAGCATTAATCTGACTTTCTCACCTGGGTAAAGCTTTTAAAACGTTAACTAAAGAATGGTTGAGGGAAGAGAATGTTACTTCTTGTTTCTTCCTAAGGTAGCTTTGTAGGATGTTTACAGTTAGGATAATAAAAATGAATGGGGGGGGGGCTGGGAACAGGAATGGAAATAACTGAATATGAATTCAGGCTTTGTAAAGTTTCTGGGATCTGAAGAGTAATAACCCACTTTTCCAGGCCAAGGAAAGCCTTCAACTCTAACCACGTCAGTCTCCCCGACTCATGGTTGAATGTATGTTATTTGTCGTTCACAGAATGGCCATAAACTTCCATGGCAACTTCCAGTGCTTTTCTACTTCCTCCATGGATGGCTTGTTGATTCCTCAGGCCACGTGAACTAAGCAGAACAGCTCACGTAAGTTGGGGAGGGCCATCTGCTCAAAGCAGCTTACCAGCTAACAGTGCAGTCCAGGGACAGTCTGGGTAGAAAAAGGGGACATCTTACCCTCTAAGGGCCAAAGGAGGATGCAATGGAAGGATGGGAAAAGGAGGAAGGGGAAGTGGGCTCCAGACACACATAGCAAGGCCTAGGAGTTTTGGCAGCAATATATTGTTGTTAAGAACCCAGGAATAAAAGAGAAAACCCAGGATGTACTCTGGGGGAACCCTCATTAGGAATTAGGATTTTCTCTTCACTTCCCTTGGTGAAATATATGAAAGAAGAGGAAATGGATGCATACTTAAAAAAAAAAAAAAAAGGAATGAACATCTATTCTGTACCCAGAATTACCTTGGTGTTCAAAAGAAATGTCAACCTTGGTTCTTGCCCTTGAGAAAGTGTCATTCTCAAGGAATGTGCCATTCTTTCTTGGGGAGGCCAACATACACATACATGAGACAGTAAGGGCATGACATGAAGTGTCACTGGATTCTAATGATGTTCTTTACTTGGGGGACACACACATGGCAGAGACTCAGAGGACAATGGCATCCCTAAACATGGCCTCTGTGGGTCACTCAGACCTTTGTCTTTCACTTCCCATCCTCAGTCTCTTTCCTGACATGCAAAGCCCTGCATGGTCAGGGCACATGCATTATCTTCACTGGCCACAGCCACTTTGTATGGGCCTCTGAATCTCCCCTCTTCTGCTTTCTGCCCACACCACCAGTCCTATAACGCATTTGCTGTCTTTTGTCTATTTGACCCGGAAGTTAAAGACAAGCAGGAAGTGGTTATTGAACAGTGGTCTTTTGGATCCCAGGAGTTGGGCATTTATGTTCTTTCCTAATACCTGTTCCTCACAGGGAGAAGAGATGTTCCATGTCGGGGAGTGAAGATGGGGCCTGACTTTCACTTTGGAACTATTCTTTTTCGTGTGGCTGGAATCTTGAAACATTCTATGGCTCTAAAGTGCCAAAGACTACCACCTCAGCTTCATTCAAAAGGAGAAGGAAATGAAATTTTAGTTGAAGAAACATCGATGTTCTTTCACCTCAACCCTTGGTCAATGTGATATCAACTTCTACTTTTTTAAAAAAAGACTTTTGAATAAAAATGATGTAACAGCATCTCCATGCAAGACTACTTTGAATTTTCTACAATTTGATGTACACACAAAAGAAATGGGGAGGGGCCAGGGAGATAGCTCAGCAGAATAAGTGCTTGCCTGACAAGCGCAAAGGCCAGAGTTCAATCCCCAGTTCTACCAAATAAAAAGTAAAATAAAATAAAAGAAATGGGGACCTAGAGACATATATTAACCTAATAGAAATGTAAGTAACATGGATAACTCAAAATTTCCTAGTAACCACAGAGCTGGGCATGGCAGTACCCAGCTTGGGAGACTGAGGCAGAAGGGTTGCCATGGGTTCAAGGTAAGCCTGGGCTACATAGTAAGACCCTGTCTCAAAAAAAAAAAAAAAGTAAAGACAAACATGCACAATTTTTGTATTTCATTTCCCTTAATGAATCCCCAAATATCTCTTGATTACTACTAAATATTTAGTAGTAAAGTTAGTGAGATATTTTGCATTTGTTTTGGTACCAAATCTTTGAAACCTGGTGTGCATTTGAGCCACGTGGAACTAATAATAGCTGCCATAAATATCGACGTTAGAGCAAGAAAAGGATTCTGACTTCAGCTCACCTCGTCCTTATGTTGAAAGGGCAGCTGGGTCCCCCAAACTGTGACTCCTTGTCTGGATTACACAGAGGATGAGTCAGACTCTCTCTTCCGACGCCAGGTCTCTGCTTCCTGGGAGGTTTATGGCTGACCCACATAGCTAGAGAGGAATAAAGCACAACATTGAAAAGCATTTAAAAAAAAAAAACAAAACCCAGCACCTTCTTAACCCCACGGCCCTCCAAAGTATTTTTAAAACTAAAATATCAGAAGAAAATGGCCCAATAGATACTG